TCTCTATATCTCTCTCAATCTGAATCTCTTTCTCTCTCTCTCTGTCTCTCTCTCTCTCTCCCTTTCTCTATATCTCTTTCAATCTGAATCTCTCTCTCTCTCTCTCTCTCTCTCTCTCTTTTTCCAATTCCTTCTCTGTCACGAACTTGAAAATGGCACTTATACACCATTTCCCTTCTACGCGAAACCACCGCTACAGTATGCACTCCTGTCCTCGAAAATCTTACATCTATGGCGCCCCCCCCCCCACGAATGGCCCTCGCATGTAGGTTTCGGCGTACGCGCAGCCGTGGCCCGCATCCTGACGCGTGGCTCTCGTTCGTCGTTCTTCAGGCTGCCCCGCTGCTGGTTGGTGCGGGCTTGCTGAGCCTCGCGGCGTTCGCCGTCGGCTGGTTCGTGACGAGGAAGAAGAAGCCGCTCTACGCGCTCGACGACCCCAACAAGAAGTATCCGTTCAAGCTCATCGAGAAGGAGGTATACTGTTGTCTACGAGTCTTATATACTGTTATATAGCCCTTCTCCTACCTACCCCCCTATGAATGAGCGTGGGGGGTGAAGATGGTGGGGTGTAGAGTGGGACCCGCTTTGCAGCACTGTGTCTGTGAAGATGATTACCGCTGGATATTAGAAGTGCGGCTTTATTTGGCAATTTGTCAAGAAAACGAAAAACCGAGAACTCTGTAATAAAAAGAGTGCGCATTTCTGCCTTTCTTAAACTTGAGTTTACAGCAAGCTCGATTTGTGACATCTGTGCTTTCTCACAAACACTTGGCAACACAAACGAGAGATAAGTGGGGTTTTCCTCTTTAAAACACATGATAAGATTTTCAAGATTTTCAAGATTTCAAGGTTTTTATTTGTGCTAAACGAGGATAAATCAGACAGTGGGAAAATTAAACAGTTATAACTTTGTTAATATAATGCACGGGTATGGCGAAAGGACCTTGCGGTCATCGAGTCGGCCATACACTATAGTTACAGTACATATTACTTTCCAAGACACGATGTTGAATGATATTTACAATACATGACGTGATCTGATGATTACAGCACACACAATCCATCACAATACACGACGTTATATTATATTACAATACACGACGTTATATTATATTACAATACATTACATGACAAGACATTATAATACAATACAACACATTACGATTAGACAACTTTATATACGTATGACATTACAAGACATGATGATATATGATATTTACAATACAAGGCGTGATCAGATGATTACAACACATACAAACCATTACAATACCAGACGTAATACTACCTACAATACATGACGATATATTACGTTACAATTCATGCCATGATATGACATTATACTACATATGACATTATACTACATATGATATTACAATACATGATGATATATGATATTTACAATACATAACGTGATATGACACTACGACACATTGTAACCATACGATAGATTACATTACAAAACATTGCGTAACGTTTCATTACTTTACAATACAATACAATACAATACAATACTGTATACATAAGACAGTGAGATTCATCAATTTCGAATTGCTTAAACATTTATTTACATTCATCTTATGCAACGAGCAACTATTTTGTCAAAATATGATATAGCTAATTAAAAATAAGCCACATAATTCCAGATAATTGAATGAAATCTTTCTCTTTCTTATTGCAAACCACAGAGGAATGCAGTTTTCAATTTACATGACACAAGCTGATCATGAATGCGGTTTTTGCCTTTCACGTTACAAGCGATAGATGAATGGAGATTTTATATTGCGTGTCAAGTTGCAAATGTTGTTTTGTCTTACCTTCTCAAGTAATACATGGTTTCGGTTTTTCTCTTTTACTCTAGATTATTAGTCCCGATTCCAGAAGGTTCCGATTTGCACTCGCCACGGCAGATCACGTTCTAGGATTACCCGTTGGTCAGTATTAGTTCTGCTCGTTTATCGCATTGCCAGGCTTCGATATCGCACTCCACTGCCCACATTATAATGAGAGCAAACCGGTGGTATACATCGTCTTCAGGTTATACTGTAGCGATGCAAATTCATGCGAGTGAAACTTAATTTCGGACGCTTGGATCATAAACTCTTCGAAGAGCACTTAGTATACATGGTAGTAGAATGGCCCTTGGGGTTATTAGCTGTGAGTCATTAGTTTTAAGTCATTAGTCATTGGCCATGAGCCGTCGGAGTTACGGCCATTGGACCCTCACTAAGGAGGGCGGCCATAATAGTATAACGCATGCAGAAATAAAGGAACCAGGAAAGTTGCCAGCCTGCGGGGTGGCGAGGAGTCTAGAGTTTGGAAGCGTGCCATAATGACGCAAGTATACATTAATACAAGTATATCGACCTACATTGTAGGATTATGTCACGTGTCTCTCACCTCGATTTTCTGGAGGAAAATTTGCATTTTTTTCAACTTATGCTGTTACATTGTCTAGATGTTACAAAAGTGATGAGATCACCCTTCAGCTGATGCCGGTCAGTCCATGGGGCTTCACCGCTTATCTGTGGCTAAACTCCCACATTTATCCTTGCAGGTCAGCATATCTACTTGACAGCGAAGATAGACGGTCAGATGGTGATGCGGCCCTACACCCCGGTATCGTCCGATGATGACAAGGGCTTTTTTGACCTTGTCATCAAGGTATGGCCCGAAGTAGGTTATCGCTATTCGTTCTATGCATGAAATGCACTGTCGGGCAGCCTGCGTGCCAATGCTGACGAGGGAGGGAACGAGTGCACAGGCGATTATAATTAATGCGCCCGAGATTAACTGAGCTGTAACATGGTAACGTTGAGCGTGTGTTCTGTGTGGTAGATCTAGTGGTAAATACAGTCTGAATTCGGTTAGCACACGACATGTAGGTCAGTGTTTGTACTGATTCCTTATCCTGTTCTCAGACATTGCAAAGTTTGCTTAGCCCATACTCATCAATTACAGTAACCCAAATTAAATATCTATTTTTGTACCGACAGGTGGCGCCGTAAGTTAATCTTTAATATAATTTGGCTGAGAAAATGCTGTGGCAAATTCAGCTAATTATTTTTTGAAAAAGCTATTCTGCCTGCAGGCATGTGTTTAACGGCAGCTTACAAAACAAATGAAGCATTCACACGTGTGCGTGTGTGTGTGTGTGTGTTGGGAGAAAGATACAAGATGGTAAGCTAAAGCTGATATTGGTAGCATTGGACCCAGAGATGCATGGTTTTGGGTAAAGGACCAAAGCAGAACAAAAAGAAGGCTTGTTGTGCGCGCTATACACTTTCACACGGCAGCATTGGACATTTTTTTTTGCAATAGCCAGCTGGAACGCTTTGCACAGCTTTTCACTTTTTTGTGTTAGTATGGTGGTTGGTGGCACGGATTTTATTTTTGCAAATCAAGCCTAGATTTTTATGTGTTTGCGCACGCTAGCTTTAAACCATACCTAGAAGCAGAAATATGAACATGTATCTAAATTCGCACATTTTAGCATGTAGTGGTAGAACGTCAGCCTTTTCATGTTGCACAAGTTCGTAGTCATTATTTGTCTCATGTGCAGAGCACTAGCTTATTACTATATTCATCTGTTTTCTATCTATTTCCGTCTACTAGGTTCGCGATTTATAGCATAAAATTGCGTTGCAGTAAATGTTGAATGTGTGAGATCAACGTGATTGCATTACTACTCAATGTTGAAATCTGATGAAATCCATCTCATTTTTCGGCGCGTCTTTCACGAGATTTCTGCGTCGCATATTGGCGACGTTGCCGCAAGAATAAATTTTATCGCTATCGTTGCCTCTCTACTTGTGACTGCCCGCTTGCGTTTCCCTTGCTTTCCTGCCGTCACGATGCGATTTAAACCCCGTTAACTACGCCTCTTGCAAGGTCTACTTCAAAGATGTGAACCCCAAGTTCCCTGCAGGAGGCAAGATGTCGCAGTACTTGGACTCGCTCCAGGTCGGGGACTACGTTGACGTCAGGGGACCCAGCGGAAAGCTGATGTACTGCGGACGAGGTAGGGGGCGCTGCGTAACCCTGGTTATGTGTAGGGGGCGCTGCGTAACCGTGGCTATATGTAGTGGGCGCGGCATAACCCGGGGCCTGTAAGTTGGTTTAGAAAATGCGAGTACTGGCTTAGGGTTTAATCCGTGGCCATCAGGCGAGCTCGCGACGCATTTCAATATAAGCGGCAAGTCTAGTTCATCCGATAAATTCCTGCGTTGTACTCGGACAAGTTCAGTTAGCTGTGTCGCAGTGAGTAATCGAGAGAGCGGCGCGCTCACGCCGTCATGATCCACCTCGCAGTAGGCCGCTCTGATCTAACATCGTGTTGGTTGGCGGCGTGGAAGTCCGCGCGCCTGCATGTCGCGTGGCTGGAGGCGTTCGACACGACTCGGCGCATCGTCGTCGACGTTCGTGAACGTTCACCTTGTTTTCATTTCTCAGGTGGATTCAGCGTGCGTGGAGAGAAGGGCAAACCGCGCTACATGATCCACACGCGTAAGCTCGGCATGATCGCCGGCGGGACAGGTGAGAGAGAGGGCGCCGGCGTACGCCCCCGCGGCGCGATCGACGGTCGCGCAGTAGAAACGATCGTAGAGAAACTCGTTTGTAGTTGTTTAGTAGCATACTGCTTTTTTTTTTGTTACTCTATAGAGGCTTAACCTCACGAGTCCGAGGAATCCGATCACCCGTAGTGGTCGCGAATCCACCGTTTGAACGTCAAACGTTCTCACTGTTCATTCGTTTGGTTTCAAAGTCGTTTGGTTCTGCTCAGTCGTGCACTGATTGATGGTAGTGTGCAGTAAAAACAATCATGGCACTATTGCTTTGTAGTCATGCAGTAGTTCAGTAGTATACTGCTCAGTTCTATTCTTCTATACTCTAATCTCTCTTTTTTCTAATCAATCTCCGCGTCACTCAAGCGAATCGCCTTTTCGGTAGCGCCAAGCTGTGCTTCTCGGCAGAAAGCGCACGAATTTCAATCGTGGAATTTCTGAGCGGTCGACTGGGTAGGGGTAAACGAGCAATGCTGAGCAGACTCGATGGATCGGAACGTCGCTGGATTTTGCAGCGAGCTGCCGCTGACTGTTGCAGGTATCACTCCGATGCTGCAGCTGGTGAGACAGATCTTCAAGGACCCGGGAGACAAGACGAAATGCTGGCTACTGTATGCCAACCAGACGGAGGACGATATTCTGCTGAGGAACGAACTGGAGGAGGTGCAGAGAGCGAACCCAGATCGCTTCCACCTGTGGTACACCCTCGACAAGTCGACGGAAGGTGCGCAGCGCTACGATCGCCATCTAGTGGAGCCGCGAAGCGTCAAACGAACATTTTTTTAGTTTTTAAAAACGTGTATAGGAAAACAGTTATTTTTCTTTTATTTTGGGGAAATATTTTTCTGATTTTATGTTTCTGATTTATCGTCGTGAATTATTTCGGTTTATTTTAAAATCTGTGCAACTGTGAAATCGTGTGATAAACAAAACTGATATAAGCCCCATTTACTGCCATGCGTTTAAGCGAGTAAATCAACTTGTGATGTTTTATGTTATGTATATCTGCTAAGTTAATAAACTCCCGATGTTGTCTGTCGTAATGTAAGGTAGCGATTTGTGTGGCCATGACGGTTCTCGCTGTTTTCCACGCAGGATGGCAGTACAGCACTGGATTCGTGAACGCCGAGATGATAGTGGAACACCTGCCGCCACCTGGTGACGACACGCTCGTACTGATGTGCGGACCGCCCCCTATGGTGAACTTTGCCTGCATCCCGAACCTCGACAAGCTTGGTTACGCCGTGAAGAACAGATACTCGTATTAAAAATCTACGAGCGGCCGGGAATCGTGCTGTCGGTCCACGTCTCATGTTTGGTGTGGATCAGTGCCAACAGATGGCGGCACGTGTGGGGGTTTACGGGCCCCAGTTTTAGGTCGAGCGACATTTTTTCCGAGTGAGAAGTCGTGATGGGACGATGTCGTGATGCATGCACTCGTAGGATACAGAAAATAGTAATTCGGCTTTCTCAAATGCAGGTGCTGCTATAAGTTAATGAAGTGTGAACTTGTTTCAAACCCAATAGACTACTGCAGTATATGAGACCTTCTCATGTTCTTTCCTTGATTAGAATTCTGTTTGTCCGAAGGGCTATTGGAGTGGTTCTGTTACACAAGTCCTGTTTGGTATATAATCTGCGAAAATCCCCTATAATATACCAATGACCTGATACACTTTCATCTTAACGTTTATAGACAGTTTTTAAATGATGGATTTTTTAGATTTAAAACCGGTTCGTATTGCCTCAGATAAATTTCATATGTGTAATGTAGTTCCGTCTACCTAGCAAGTGCCTTATAAATGTGAAGCCTGCTAATTATGACACGGAATATATTCGTTTCGCTTACGCTTGTTTAATTTTTACATGGTTTTCTGTTCATGTTACATGTTATACTTATTTAATCTTTGTCTTGTATAATGGACATTGTTATGATGCAATATGATCATGATATTGTTTGGGTTAGTATTGAAATCACGACCCACAGGCGAATATATTCTGCTACAGTAGTTCCGATTTAGTGGGCTACCACAAAGTGTGTACACAACAATATGCGCACACACACACACACACACACACATATATATATATGTATATACATGCATGTATGTATTCATGTGTGTATATATATATATATATATATATATATTACATGCAATTACATACATATATTTGTTAACTTACCTACTGCTATTCAAGAAGTGACTAATGGTTATAAGACCGGTAGTAAGTAGAGTCATTCAGGACTTGGTGATCCTTCGGACGAATGGTGCGAGTGCATGTATTATTAGAACGTTGATGTTTGGACCAGCAAAAACCACTACAAATGATCGGTTATGAAAAAATGTCAAAAAATAGTCGTGTGATCTCGTTGTTTATATATATATATATATATATATATATATATAATTATATATATGTATACTGGTGACAAATTTTAGGGTTAGGGGCAAAGTAAACCCCTGCACTGTGCAGGTGCAAAAACTATCAATGGTTTTCATTGTTAATATTCGCAGCTGCGCCGGTGTAGATAGCACCCATTCACTAATTTATTGAGACTCGGTAGCGAATTGAAGTGTCATGACCAGTGACTTGCAATCTTATGAGGTGTAATGTTTGGGAGGTAACTGTGCATGAAATGCACACTAACAACGCGCACAATCATCGTGTGTGATGGTGATGAAAACTGCCGTGGCATATGATATGTGGTAGTGCACCGATACATCTTGGTCTACACAGTGTGTGTGACGTTACAGTTTTATCGTGGAGTATGTTTCCCTCGAGAGTAGAGAGCTTATGTGTGAGGAGATAGAGTGTCTAGGTAGGTACTCTCTTAAGTGAATAAGTGTGTGAGTAGTCTGTCTGCACGAAAAAAAAAGGAAAATGTTACGTTGTTGTGACGCGTGATTCGGACACAGTCAAGGGCAGCTGACATATCAGCAGGACACGTTTCGTGATCTGCGCTTTCGCGATCGCACGCGAGTATCGATCGTCCACCGTATGCACCCACGGGGTTGCTGCGCTCGCCCCGATTGTGTCAAACGTCTTGCCACCAAGTGCCAGTCTTTCGTCGCCCCGTATGTCGTGCGATTTTGTAAATCGAAAGATCTCAGTTGAGAATGCGTGTGTGGGTGTGTTTGTGTTGACTCGGCAGCATTCGTGATGTTTGACGATCAGTTGACATGTGGAATAAAAAAAAAAGGTGATAGGGGCATGTGACGTACTGGTCGGAATTGGGGCATTTGTAATCGTGTAACAGGTGGCCGGGGGAAATCAGATTTCCTGACTTGCACAGTAGATTTAGGGATCACGTGTATTGGGTTAGGGTTAGGACTAGAAACATTACAAGTGTAAGGAGTGTAAACTGTTTTAGTACAGATATGTGACAAGATGAATCATTGTTAATGGTAGGAAATGTGCTCAAATAACCAACCACCTATAATATGATTCTAACTTGTGAGTATTCTAGATGTAGACAACTAAACTACTGCATCATTTTTATAATGTGATAGGTGCCATATGTATCCACTAGGGACCAAAAAGTCAGGATTTAGGACCTGGAATGTATTGTCTGTAGATTTTACTAGGAAAACGCCACCGTGTAGAAGCAAGCACCAAGGCTAGTTACTAACGTAGTATAATTAACACGACTGCTGCATAGTTCCCCCTCCCAAAATAAATAAAGGAAATTGCTTGTGACTGGATTTGTCTTTTTTTCAAATTGTTATCTTTTTAAAAACGACTTGCTCTATAATATACCATACCCATCACTGCAACAATAAAACGTGCATAACTACTCTCAGTAATTTCAGTAAGTAAGTATAATACTGTGTATTCACTATGTTTTAGTAAGTGTTAAATACTACATGTAAAAAGTTTGCTAATTTTTTGATAATTGACGAAATTTTCTGCAATGCTCAACACATAAATACAGCATCATAGCATATCGCATGATGACACCCTTAAAGGATTACTATTACAATTAGCATTCCAGGAGTGGGTCATTAAGAAAAAATTACCATTTGCTGTGCTCATTTTTACAACTTTCCACAGGTACAGACAATTAAAATGACCGTTTCGAGGAAACATTAGCTCACACGATTTTGGCTGATCATGCATTCGGTTGGGTATTAGGATATATAACCACAAAGCGACAAAAGGTTTTCCACTAGCCGGGCGGTCCTTGCTATACAGCACTGCAAGCTGCGGCGACATTGTCAGATGATTACGCTTCCACTTTTGCTCGTCACGCTGTCCGTGAGCGTGAAGTTTCCGCGTGGCATCACTTCCTCCGGACGACATGACGACGGTTCCTTGTGCGTGACGCCGTGCGAGGACAGCCTGGTGATCCTGTACTCCGACGGCCGCATGATGAAGGAAGCCGCGATGAGTGCTGTCGTGCGAGAGACGCGAAACACGGTAGATTAGTGATCGCAGAGCTGGCTCTGTCAAACATTTCCCTATGTGATGCAGCCTAGCTTCCTCCTGCAACTGGTTCTAGTTGCAGAATGAACGGCTAAAGGTTGATGTAGAGATTATCCTGTACGGCTACATCTTAGTGTGTCTATGGTGATTATTGTAAAGCAATTATTATTTCTGCAAGATTTCGACGATAATTCTAACATGTACATGACTGTGGTGTTGTTTTTGACCAAAATTGATAGAATGTACTTTGATTGAATATTTAGTGAATTATTTAACCAATCCTCTCTGTATAAGCGACTATTTTGCTCGCTCCACCCCTTCACGTCTTTGTGACAGCGACACGAACACTCGTGCACATGGATAGTTACATTCACAGCATGACTCGCAGCTCTCCTCCCTATGTCGTTCGCACAGCGTTCCTTCCAGCTCTGTTATAGGAGGAGTGTCAACACATGAACGATGCCTGCTGGGAGAACCTCCCAATTGCTGGCGTTGTTTTAGATGCTCCTCAAAAATATCCTGCAACCAATGAACCATGACATAGCATAGTCATACATAGTCATAAGCCATATATTCTATATTAGACTATTATATCTATATTCTATTTTATTCTCTATATTATATTCTATATATATATTCTCTTATATTCTATTATATTCTCTAATATATTCTATTATTGTTTTAATACAATCATAATATTCGTCTACGGTACTGTAGTATGTAATTGTAAGTCATAAAAAGTCTATAGCCTTAGGTTTAGGGAAGAAGATGAGTAACGAAGTCGAAGAATACACGAGACGACGCATTTCTGGCGATGCAGTTTTAGACTTTTAGTATTATTAATTTTGTAGATTATAACTTAATTATCACCCTCATATATGCATAATGATCATTGTGTAATAAATAAATAATCACTACTGTCGCATATCAATGATCATTTCCCAGATTAAAGAAGTACCGTAGGCTACCTTACTTGGCCTTCTTGGCCGCTGACAAAAGTTGTCGGGTATGTACACAGTGTCAGTAGTTCTATCTGAGTCTGCCAGTGATACAATCACGGTTGGGAATACTTCGTTCCTTTTGGACTGGCCACAACCCATTACCCATTCCTCGTCTTAATGTTTTAACCTACAGCTAAGACATCTCGTCTATGTCACACAGTCACAATATGATTGAACTGTGCAACCTCAGTCAGTATGCGACCAATGAGTGAGTAACCTAGGTAACGACAACAAAACTTGTCAAAGAAGTTCTACTGTTTCTCACTAGAATAGCATTCTGGGATATAAAAGTTTTTACGTCAGACCAGGTGGTGTCTGTGTCGTCGTTGTTGTGTTTCCGTTCGTTTGCGCGCTGTACAAATGTGCATTTTATTTCAGCACTGTGTACTTATATTTATAATCAACTGACAGCATGACAGATTCTTGTACTTTCCTAAGTAATCGGTTGCAGTTAGAACCAGTACCGAGTATCGGTGATGAGTGTTTCTGTTCAGACGAGGAGAACTATATGACGCTGTCACCTGGCATGCCCGTGTTCAAAACTAGCGATGGCACTATTCGTTCTCTGGCAGATCTCAAAATTGGAGGCTTGGCATCGTTGGCTTCTAACAAGAACAAACAACTGAAACCCTTAATGAACCGCAGACCGTCGGACATTGGCGACGGATGCGATTATGTCATCGTCACTAAGAGATTGACACGGACGAGCGAGAGCAGGGTGAAGTTTGTGTTCTCGTGCTTGGCTTACGGGCTAGGTTTGGGAAACGTATGGAGGTTTCCGTACATGGCATACAAAAGTGGAGGAGGTTAGTTGTGCGTTGTGTTAGTAACGAAATAATATTATATTTAGCAGTGGATCTGTGGAGGCTGCCATGGGGTCAGGTCCTTTTTTCTTTCGACCTTCCTTCCGACTTCCAGATCCCCTGAACCACACCCCTGTCTATCACCCGAGCATTAACAATTGATAACACAGCCACCAAGGGAATTTTGCAGTGTTCTCAAAGAGATATAATAGTGAACTAGTGCATACGATGATTTTGACTTGTTAATGATGTTACCCGTAACCCATCGGTGTTCAGTATTTCTGAGAGCTATACTGCATATGCCTGATCCAGCCAGATAACACATGAATCAGCACATTTTTATTATGTCCATGGCATTCGATGAAATGTATTAATTGTGGTTAATTATGAAGCAGCATCACTGAGAATTAATGCATTTTGCTTTAACAATGTTGGTATTTAATTATGTAGCTGTCTATATAGATGGTAATTAAGTGTACCGAACTTTGTCATGGTAAGCTTAATTTCAGATATGCTGTGTAGTAGTAGGAGGGTAATGCTATATCTTGTTTGGATGGTGATTGTAGATTGCAAGTTAAATGCTCTATATAGGCTAAGCCCTTGTCACCACATAAGATAAACTGATTATTATCTATACTGGCTCACCATTGGCATGTGGGTATACTGTAGATGTGTTCTAATTTACAAATATGATCATGTTTTACTAAATATACGTGCACGCACGCGTGCATGCACACACATACACATCGCATTCGTTAATTTAGTTTTCCTCATCACAAAGTCTTTACTGAACAGAATGTGATATAAGCTCACACATAATTTTATATGCCAAAAATCTGCATGGGTCTGTCCAACCTAGCTACCTTATATTGACGTACATTCATTCACAGATGCTCTTGATATGTGTTATGTTGACCACAGGAGCATTCTGGATAGCATACGTCGTGGTTCTGCTGCTGTGTGGTGTGCCATTGTTACTGATGGAGATGGCTGTCGGCCAGCACACAAGACACGGACCTATCTATGCACTCAAGAAACTGACGCCCATGTTTAAAGGTTTGTATATAGCTCAAAGTCAGGATGAAATAGCAGAAAATGTGCTAGACAATGTTGTAGATCGATTATGTGTGTACTGGTGCAAGAGAGAGGGAGGGAGTTAGGGAAGGAGGGAGAGAGGGAGGTGGGAGGAAATGAAAGAGAGAGAGAGAGAGAGAGAGAGAAGGGGGAGGTAGGGAGGGAAGGAGGGAGGAAGTGAGAAAGGGGAGAGAAAGACAGAGAGAAAGAGACTGCCACCCTTCTCCCTCTCACACTTCCCTCTCTCACGATTCGCTCGCTTGCAGGCGTCGGGCTGGCGTCGACGATCGTCTCGTGCGTGATTGCTGCCTACTGCAGCGTCGTCATGGCGTGGGCCCTCGCCTCGATGATCACCTCCTTCCACCTCGACGAGATGTGGTCGGCGTGCGAGATGGAGTGGAGCTCGCTCGGCTGCTTCAGCGACTTCGTAACCACGACGACGGCGGCCGGGAACGTGACAACGACGCCGGTTAACGCGACGCTCGTGCCAGTATCCGTCGAATACTTCCAGTAAGACGGCGCTCGGATTTCGCTATGACCTTTGCCCCTGACCTTACTTGGCGTGGTGAAGGCGTGAGTGCAGGGTTAGGATTTTGCCACGGCACGGAATCGAAGTGCCAGGGTTGACCTTCTCCTTCACTTGCCACGTGGTGACGGCACGTGTGCTGGGTTCGAATTTTACCGCGGCACAGAAGCCAGCTGCAGTGGTTGCTTATTTGTCGTAGTGTGCTGGCGCGTGTACCCAGGGCTTGAATTCTACCGTGACACTGACTGCAAGTGCCGTGGCTGCCCTCTCAGTACATGCTCCACTAAGGCTGCCTTATGCCGTATCCCTCCTTGCTGTTATCTTGAATCTCATGTAGTATATATGCATCTCTATTTTGCACATAAAGCTATACTAAAAAATGGCTTTATTAACCTATTTATTGATTGATAGTTGTATGCCTCGTTGCCCCCTCTCGCTTTCCATCGTGCCCTGAAAAGTCTGGTTAAACCGAAAGCAACATTTGCCTTGCCTTAAACATTTAAATTTGACCCCTGGTAAGAAATATTTGAGTGCAAGTGCAAGTTCTATGCGCGTGTCTGTGTTTGCGGGCTGTCCAATGTGCAAACATTTTGTGAGATGGTAACCATGATAAGGATGTGTGGGGCCAAAACTAGTGTCAGTAGCAACATATAGTATAGCTAGCAACCGATCAGTGCATGTAAATGCACATGTTTACTGTGAGGAGCACTTCATAAAAGAGATATGTTTTATTATGTTCTCCTGATACCAGGATAATTAAAGTTTTTTTTAATGAAATGGTTGAGTGTCTTGTTCTTAAATCGTTTACTACAAATTGCATGCTTCGTGCGGCGATATCAATTCGTGCATGTTTATAAATATGATCCTATAAGTTTCATGCAATATTCCATGTTTTCGTAAGCTTCTCTGCGTTGGTTTCTTCTTTACAGGAGGAGAGTTCTTAAACAGTCTGGAGGGTTCACGGACATTGATAGCATTGTGTGGGAGCTGGCCTTACTCACCATGTTTGCCTGGATGTTTATATTCTTTAGCACGTGGCGTGGTGTGAAGGCAAAGGGCAAGGTAGCGTTTATCACCAATACCCCCTCTCCCCATGTCGGTATTCTCATGTCAACATGTCATCCTACTTTAGCTGACTGTACTTTACCTTCTTAATTATCACCATTCTTAGATGCCCCCCGGGGGCCTAATATTTGTGATGTTGCATCATAATATTTTGTCACTGATAGTATTTCCAAGTGTTTTTAATGCATTACGTAGTTCTACGGCTATGCAAAGAGCTTATAATGATAATCTCTTTGTATTTATAATTATCATTATATGCTCTTTGGCTATGTAAAGGTTGCATGTGCGATGCAACCCAACAAAGCTAACGTTATCCACAGCGGAGATTATAACAGCCGTTTCTCGTCGTTAATTTTTTAGAGTCTGTACATAATGACGACGATGCCGTGCATTCTATTGCTCGTACTTCTCCTGCGTAGCCTCGCGTTGCCGGGCGCCTACAATGGCCTCGTCTACTTCTTCTCCCCCAGCTGGGAACAGCTGGCCGATTCCAAGGTGAGAGAGTGCAAAGTACGACAGGACAAAATAAGTCGGCATGTGAATTTTTTTACAGTTTTGGTTTGATTGTCGGAGTGCAAGTGCGGCAGTACGTATAATAAGTTAGCGTGTGAATTTTTTTACAGTTTCGGTTTGAGCTTTTTGGCAGTACGTAATAAGTCCGTGTCCGATGTTTTTTCATGGTCTCCGTTTGGACTTTTTTGCAAAACGCAACCTGACACGAACTATTTAGAATGGTGCATTGCACTTGCCGAATACAAAAGCGAGGCTTGGCTGTATGAAGAATTGTACATGGGTGGCACAATACAGCAGCTACATAGATGTACACATGGATTGCTGATATACAAATACACCGGGGTCATATAAAGTGAGAATTTCGAACAGTCATCCCGATTGTTTTCGTATTTTCCCAAGTATTACATTACTTAGTGGTATTAGTCATATTCAGCATGTATTGGGCATATTTTAGCATGTATTGGACTAGTGTAGTAGTTGATGTCTTTCTCACCAGGTGTGGCTGTACGCAGCGGCGGCGCAGCTCAACAGTGTCGCCCTCGCCTGCGGGTCGTGGATCGTGATATCCAGCTACGAAGATTACCACAACAACATATACAAGTGAGCATCTCTCGTCATTACGGCTATCGCTCGTTTTTGCACTGTAATGAATCGTTGGGGTTATAAGTTTGTGAGTGTTGTTTTCAGCATGGGTCGAATTCTACACCCAAAATCTGGAAGGCGTGTTTGGCCCACGCTGTTTTCGATGGCTGGCCCTATTTTGAGGTTTAGAGACATGGCAGGGATTCTGGTAGTTGAGACACTCATCGGCATTGTGTTCCACGCTATGTTTAAGAGACACGGCAGGGATTCTGGTAGTTGAGTCATTCATCGGCATTGTATTCCACGTTATGTTTTAGGGACACGGCAGGGATTCTGGTAGTTGACACGATCGCCAGCCTGGTCGTCGGGGTAACCATGTTTGCTACGCTCGGTTTCATGGCGGAAACGATGGGACAAGATATAGACACCGTAGCCCCGAGAGGTGGGTTAGTAACGATGTGTGAGAGGTGGAGGCCTCGACCAGCTCTGTGGCGAACAAATTCACTGCACCATCCCCTGTAGATTCAATCGGTTCATTTTTCGACGCCAAAGTTAGTGATGTACTAATCTTGTAATAAAGCTAAAAGTTATGAACGACGCGACAGGCGCTTATACAGTCATATAACACTAATGTCTATCAGTATCAGAGTAGCTGGAAAATCGTTATATCGCTTTTAAGTGCATGCACCTCGTAAATTTGTGATGCGGTTGACAATCGTAATCAGACGCACCTATGAACTACATTTAGTTGTAATGGTACCAGCTGATAATAACGCTCATAGGGTCTATGTCTCCCTGGGTACTGCCGGAACGTACCCTGGTACTATCTAATATGGTTAGGGTTAGGGTTGGGGTTAGGGTTAGGGAGTAGGCGTAGGCGACTCCATAGACTCGTTAGTGGAGTAGGCGAGGTACGGTCCGGCATATTAGATAGTACCAGCAGAGCATATAAATCACGTTGATTTATATGCTCTGGTACCAGGGTACGTTCCGGCAGTACCCTGGGGGACATAGACCCTCTCAGCGATAATAACAAGAAGACTGTAACCGCTGGCTGGAGTTTTAGATGAAGAAGGTCGTAACCGGTTGTTGGCTTCCTCTGTGCAGATCCGGCGGTCGTGTTTGAGGTCTTCCCCGTGCTCTTCCGAACCATGTTCCTCCCCTCTCTCTGGAGCTTCCTCTTCTTCATCACCGTCATCTACCTTGGAAAGGAAACTCAGGTGAGGTTTGAGGGAGTCAGACATTTCATGCAGGTGTGGTTTGAGGGAGTCAGACATTGCATGCAGGTGTGGGTTGAGGGAGTCAGACACTTCATGCAGGTGTGGGGAGGGAGAAACCAGGACATTTCATGTAGGTGGGGGGAGGTAAACACCAGGACATTTCATGTAGGTGTGGTTTGAGGGAGTCAGACATTTCATGCAGGTGTGGTTTGAGGGAGTCAGACATTTCATGCAGGTGTGGGGGAGGGAGAAACCAGGACATTTCATGTAGGTGGGGGGAGGTAAACACCAGGACATTTCATGTAGGTGTGGTTTGAGGGAGTCAGACATTTCATGTAGGGGGGGGGAGGTAAATACCAGGACATTTCATGTAGGTGTAGGGGGAGGTAAACACCAGGACATTTCATGTAGGTGTG